GTGTGTGTGTGTGTGTGCGTGCGGGTGCGTGTGCGTGTGCGGGTGCGTGTGGGTGTGTGTGTGTGTGTGTGTAGGTGTGTGTGTGTGTAGGTGTGTGTGTGTGTGTGTAGGTGTGTGTGTGTGTAGGTGTGTGTGTGTGTGCGCGCGTGTGTGTGTGTGTGTCTGTGTCTGTGTGTGTGTGTGTAGGTGTGTTGACTGCTTTCAGGGTGAGGGACCCGGCGTTGCAACAGGGAATTCACAGACGGGTCGCAGGGACTGGACATGGGGCTTGCATGCATTGTTTTTGGGGTTACGTATGGGCTTAGGGTTTAGATTTTAGTGCGCAGGATTTAGGCGCAGGCAATGAAGGAATGGAAATTGAGAAGCCCATCCGGGATTTTCTGAGTATCTAGGACTACAGCCAATTTTGCGTTCTTGGTGAAATTGACTGCTATCACAGCGAAGGAGGTGTTTCCAACCACATTTGTCTGGAGGGTCCTACGGCAAGGGTCCTACCATAGCTCAAATCTTCTAAGCTACGAAGGGCCGTGAGTTTTGATCAGCCTGTTTCTTGGGCCCTGTATCATGCACAGGCAATGGATAACTGGAACCTTAAACCCCAGACCGTCGGCCTTGTATAACGCATAAGGGAAGGGATGCGGCAGAATTATCTGTATAGTGGTGAGGGTTCAGTAGTGCTGAAGATTAGGGTTTAGAGCAAATCTTGTTTAGGGAAATTGTACTGGTATGGGACTTAGGGGTCAGGGCTAAGGTAGGAGTTTAAGTACGGGCTTGCTGTGCTTGTCATGTTTTCACACTTGTCGGGGTTGAACCCAAGCCTCAAGACCGGCAACCCGTGTCTTCCACCCACTGGTGTTGAACGAGAACAGTTATAGAACTATACTACTACGAATACTAGTACTAGTACTGATAGGCTATCTAACTCCTCAACCCGAAACCCTAATCCCTAAATCCTAAACCCTAAACCCTAAATCCTAAACCCTAAACCCTAACCCTTTATACTAGCAGTCATAACCATTGGAGGTGTTGAACGGTACCTCTTCCAGCCCGTCCTTGCAAGAAGTGTGGGCCGCAGTTTTTTCCTACGCGGTCAAGGGTTTGGGGTTCAGGGCTTAGGGTTTAGTTAGGGCTTAGGGTTTAGGTCTTAGTGCCTAGGGCTTAGGGTTTAGGGTTTAGGTCTTATTGCTTAGGGTTTAGGGCTGAGGGTTTAGGGTTTATTACCATTACTCAGGGTAAGGGGCGGGGTCATCTTGATTGTAATAATTGATTAAGCTAAGGAAATTTCCGGACCCTAAGCAATGGTAAGTTTATGTGGGCTTCAGGGTTTAGAAGGGTCCAATTCTGGAACAACGGATGGTATGTTGGGATTATTGGGAGTCCTCTTGGGATTGTGCAAGGATGAGTCTTGCAAGGTGCCCAGCTGTCTTCAATGTACCAGCGCTACCCTCCCTAAACTGACATGGATTCAGACGCGGCCCGTTTTAGATTCCTGCGCTAGAAGGATTCTCTTCAGGTTCCACGTAAGTTAAGGAGAGACAAGGTAGAGTAAAAGACATCAGCGGAAGAAGCAAAGCATGGTATACTAAGCATGACAGTAGTGGCTTGTAGTGTTAAACTTTTCTCCAAGTCATGACCTTGGCATTTAGGTTCAGGTCTTGCTGAATTGATGGCAAACATGCCATAACACATGAAAACATCATCATCTCCATCATCCTGCCCCTGCTTGTGATGCTGCGGATGTTCATGGGCTTGGCGATGGTGATGATGAACCCTAAACCCTAAACCGCGTGACTGTGATGCCCAAGAGCCCATGATGGTGGTGAGAATGATGGTGATGGCGATGATTCTGATAACGATGCTGAGGATGATGAAGAAGAGGATTTAGGGTCTATGGTGTAGGGAATAATAAGGCAATATGTTACATAGGGATAATGGAAAAGAAAACGGAAACTAGTATTTAGGACTTAGGGTTTAGGTTTAATACGGAATAAGGATGCTGAGGATGATGAAGAAGGAACAAAACTCAAGGGAACGAAACTCAATTAAGTAAACAACACAAACATGACGATAAAAATGTGTTTAGGTTGCAGGTTTTGATAGGGTTTAGGGTTTAGGGACTCTGCCAGGTAGCTTGCAGTTGTTAATTTTTGCGTGTGAGGCTTGTGATGCAAGTAGTACCGTCCTTGCAGAGCGCAGTGCTGACCGCCAGAAGCTTTGCTGAACTCACGGGAGTTGGGGTTTAAGATTGCAGGTCGCATTTTGGGCTTAGGTAATGGATTATGGCAGGTGTAGGTTTCGGCTTTCAGTTTGTGTGTTTAGACGACGCCTGAGGTTTTAGTGCCAAAGCAGTTCAGATTGTGGTAGTTCCTTAAAGCCCCACTATTTAGGTAAGTACTTGGAACCTCTAGGAGCAGCATGCCCTAAGCTTGACCTAGAAGCTTTACTGGGTTGCTGTTAAGGAACTTGAGCTAACTTACCATGATGTGGGTATATAGTACATAATAGGGTATCCTCATCAAAGTAATGTAATGCAAGTTCCTTAACACCAACCTAGTTTGGAATTTACCTCAGACCGAAAAAGCCTTACTCCTGAAGGTTTCATATAGAGATGCATCTTTCAGGTCCCCAAAACTGAAGGTCTTCTGCGTCTCAGGTAGGGCTCAGTGTTTAGAACCTAGGCATCAGTCATAGGTAGTTAGGGTACTGTGTAATGGCGTAAACCCTACAGTAAGCCCTAAACCGAAAGCCTTGATCCATAAGGCATGCTGAGCCCGAAACCCCAAACCCTAAACACCACACTCCTGGGTTGCTGATAAGGAACTTAAATTAAGTTACTATATTGGGGAAACCCTCTTATTTACTATATATACCCATTATGGTAACTTAAATTAAGTTCTTTAAAAGCAACCCAGACTCTTTAGGGTTTAGGGTTTACCCACACCCTACACCCTAAGCCTGGGTCAGCAGAACATGCTTCGCAGGGGGAGTTGCACGATCCCGCATGGGCTGCCCGCCACGCATTTCAGAGTCCTCAGATGAACTGTAGTCTACTGAAAGGCTGGTTATTTAGGGGATGGAAAGAGCCTTGGTTTTTGTTGCACAAAACTTCCCGGGGCCTAATAGGGAAGAGGGGAAAATAATATATATATATATATCATTTTATCATATAGGGATTATATAGGGGTTATAGCGGGATTTTAGTCCCTTATTCCCTATTATAAGAACCAGTAGTATTCCCTATTATAAGAACCAGTAGGGAAAATGGATCTTGGGGCTGGACACGATTCAGGCTTAACTGCTCAGGGTTTAGGACTAAACCCTAAACCTTGGTGTTTCAGGGGTTGATAACTATGGGTTTGCGGGCTTTTGCATCCCTGGGCGTTGTTTCGCACGGGTCCTGTGGAACCTCTGTGCTAAGTGGAGAAGAAATCAAGATGTCCGCGAAGTAGCCCATGCCTAGGACCGATATGTAGTCCTTAGACCTGAACCATGAACTCTGTAGCGTAAACCTTTTCCCTAGCCGTGGGTGGCATGTGCAAATTCCTCACAACAAAACACGACAGGCCCAAAATGGAACTACCTAGGACCTAGGCAGTTGAAGGTTTGGGATTTCATTGATGCTCCCTGGACACTTTGATGATGATGGTAGCAGGTTCCTAAGGTCCCTGTTGTTCTTGACGTAGCGTTGAGATTTAGGGTTTGGGGTTGAGATTTATGGCCGTGGAGGTTATCAAAAAGAGGAGTGCATCAGGCAGTTCCCCATCAGAGAAATCCTTTCATTAAAGAGTAGAATTGGGGACACCTATTCTTGGGCATGCTCGTACTTCTCAACCCTGGGCCCTACATCCCCACATCCTTGTGTGGAGCGACCCACCAGCTCACCGAACTCCCCTCCCCCACGTGGGTAGCTTTCCGGACCAGTTCTATCTTCTTGACGTGAGCATGGAGGCTTAAGCTTGCTATTGGTCTATGTGTGTATACCTTGAGATAGTCCTTATAGAATCCATTCTAAAGACCTCCATGATCTCCTCATATTCACTATATCCCAGTTTGCACACTATCTAGATGGCTCCTTTTGTAGCCTCCTCTGCGTGTATTTGACAATCGGTTTGGGGTTCCAGGGTTTGGGGGTCAGGGCTTCGGGCTTGGGGCTTATTAGGGTTCGGGGTTCAGTGTGTACGGTTTAGGAAAACCACAGGCTCATGTATGGCTTTCAACTCGTCATTTCAAGTGGAGCTGGTTTTCTGCGTTTGTCGTATATGGGGCCGGACAATTTGGTGGACTCAGGGTGATCAGCTTCTTCAAAGTGCGAATGACCTTGGGTTTGAGGTCTGTCAAAGCCTTGAGTTTGGGGAGTTTAGGCCTAAGCATGCGCCTGAGAACTCGGCTACACTTTGTGCTCCCTTGCCAGGCGTCTTGTTCGGACAGCCTATAGAGAGATTACATTCTTTTCCATGAGCAAAATGCGGGTATGTTGAAAAGAGCCCTCCCCCACTACATCAAGATTCTTCAGTCCAAAGTGGTTGAAGGACATCTTGCACCACCGTATCTACCCTAAACCTTGGGAAATTGCACTAGAATTTGGCTCTTGGTGTTTCAAGATGTCCTATCCACCGAAGGGGGCCACCATCCCACCTAAACCCTAAACCCTAAACCCTAAACCGCGGCTATGAAGACTTGCAGGCCCCAAGCTCAAACCCTCAAACCCCTCAAACCCTAAACCGCCGCAATCCAGGAGACGTTTGTGGATCCCGCCTCCAACAGCTTCTGGTACTGGCATTCCACAACAAAGGACGGGATGTAAGGTTTAGGGTGGGGTCTAGAGTTTGGGGTTTCGTGTCCAGGGTTTAACGAAAGACTCCTACATGGTTCCCCTTTTGATTCGTTATGGCTTTCAGCAAGGGGTTGCACCATGCCGAAAAAGAATTACTGAGACCTGTGAGGGTATCCTCTAGCGCCGCGATCCTGATGACCTGACCAACAGCTAAGATGCGTGCTTCTTCAAACCAACATCCTTCTATACGCAGACCTTAAGTCTCCATTGTTGGGTGCTTGGACCCTCATGACTTGTACTGCATACAGATATATACATACGCGCAGCGTATGACACCCTGGCCCTGGACTCTGAACCCCAAACCCTAAACCCTGGACTCTGAACCCAGCAATCTATAACTAAGATTCGGTACTTTGAGCTTGAGAAGCTCCCATTGTGCTACAGGCGTTGAAGCTTGGATATGGGGATTTCCTTAATTTCAGAAAGCAGGCTCCCTGTAGTAGGGTCCCTACTTGAATACAGGTTCCAAAAAACTTGTTTCCCCAATGTCGAAAAACACTGATTTAAGCCAAGTTCCATATGTTGCAGCTACACCTCTGTTTGGTCCCAAGCGGTTTAGTCGGGTCGGAGCGGCGCTTAGGATGCAAGATTGGAGAGTAGGCTTCATGTCCACTCGGTGCCGGAGAACGTCGCATTGGTGCCCAAATCCATGTCCAAACCATGATAGTGTTCTTGTGCTGCCGGAAGACGCGTCGCATTCGTGCCCAAATCCATGTCCAAACAATGAGAACGTTCTGGTCCAAGAGCATCCAATTCCCAGAGCATCCATGTCCAAACCATGCTAAGGTTCCGGTCAACGAGCATTCGACTCTATAATCCCTGTAGCTTCCATTTTATTTTCCATTATCCTATATACCCTAAACCCGAAACCCAAATCCTTTACCCCATTAGTACCCCGTTACCCCAATATTGAGCCCCGGAGCAACAATGCCCGAACCATACTGTCCTTTCTCTTCGAGAGCATCGAGTACCCTAGGGTTTAGGGTTTAGGCAGTTTTGATGAAAGTGTCCATCCATTTTGTTCTCATGTATGGGCTTCGTATTAGCTGGGTGGGTCCCTTTCATACCAACAATGCATTTCTATCAAGGTAAAGGCTTAGGATTTTTGTCGGTGGGTCTCTGTACTACGCCCAAAAAGTTCGTCAGAGTATGGGCTTAGTATTAGCCGGGTGGGTCCCTTTACTATCCCCCAATAGTTCTTCATAGTATTGGCTTTTCATCATCTTGTTGGGTCCCTTGAATACCCTTAATGTATTTCTCTTATAGAATGGATTTCGTACGCTACCTTCAGTGGATTTTTCGCGTATTATGGGCCCGGTGTGGTGTCCACTCGGCGCATACCTACGTACATGACCCCTATAACAACATTTTCGGAGCGCCAGAACCTGTGCAAAACGCATTTCGACTTGTAATTTCCAATGAATTTTCCGGCAGCGAGTGGGCGTGAAACCAAATAGAAGTATATACCTGAACCTCAAAAGTATGTAGAACAGGAGCACATTTTGTTACTTTGGGGGTTTGAACAAGTGTTTCTACCTACTTCTAAGGTCCGGGTATTGAAACGAATAATAATTTCCAAGGTTACACCGTAGATTTAAAAGACTTTCAGTTTGAGGGACCTGTAGTATGCATATCCATCCCAAACCTCACAGCGCACGGTTGGATTTCTAAAGTATAGTATACAGACATTCGTCGATGCCTGAATGATTGCCAGCGTGATAGCTGTAACCTTTTTAAATCTTACATGTCTATGGCATAACATACCCGAGCTTCTAATGGCTAATGGCGTTGGCCTCCACATTCTAGGGTTTAGGTTGGCTTCGGATTAAGGGGTTCAGTAGCGCGCCTAGAATGACAGGGTCCTCAACACTTGAACCCTTTGATCTACGACTCTGAAACACTCCCATGTGACTGGCCTAAACGTTAAGTTTGTAACCGGCCTCCTGAGCTTTAAGTCCTTTATGCTGAACCCTAGACCCTAAACCTTGGCACCCTGAGCGCTGGGTTTGTGTAGGGCTTAGGGCTTCGCATCCGAGGCTCGGCTTACTCGAATTCTTTCAGTGCAAGATGACCACCCGCACTCTAAGTAGCTTTTCGACACCTCGCCTGGACTCAAAAGTAGGCAGAATGCGGGCCCCAAAAACAATACAGGCACCAAACATATAAGTTATTGTGCGTACTCTTCGGGGTCAGGCACAATTGCAGCAAGCTTTTCAGGAGTGGTTCTTCGCCCAGAACCCACAACTGGGCTGGAGCAGCTGGCATGGTCAATTGTGTGGTAGTCTGGGTTGCTGTTAAGGAACTTACATTAAAGTACCATAATGGGCATGTATAGCATGTGATCACGGGCTCCTCCATCACCACAACTCTTCTAGATTTAGGGTTCAGGGTACCCTCTCCACTCAAGGTTCTCCTCATGTAACTACCCTGGTTAGGGGAACCTAGGGTTGTAGGTGCAACGCCCCGGGTGGTAGTTGGCCATGCATGATGGAGTTTGAGCATGCTTCATTGAATAGAACATGGGGTATATAGGGATCTTATTATAATATACTCAAAGCTAAATTCTATCTACTTAAGGGGGAATATGTCCGAGAATCTGCCTTCGAGGAGCCTGCAGGTAGCATACAACGGCACGTGGTAGACGTTTTGCAAACCAGGAATCCGTCATAGGGACCCCCCCCATGATCCTTTTTGATTCCCATGTATCCCCAGGGTGTTTAGGGGCCCTCCATGTCGAGCAACCCCGGTTATAGTTCACGTTTCGGGGTTTAGCGCTTTCCGGGTTCAGGAATGCAGGGGTCAGGGGTTAGCGACCCTGCCTAAAACAAGATGGTAGAGGCCCGTATGTGGTTGCCCAAAATCAAAGAAGATTAGGTCCACCGACATCTGGTAATTTCTATGAGCAAGGGGATCCCAATATTGACTTATTGACTTTAACACGTTAGGACTATCATAATGGGGACCCCCCAAAAAACCCTCGAATTTTTGGAGATTGGCCCCTCGTCAGATTAGATCCGCGGTTTAGTCTTAACAGCGTAGGGCCCTCTAGCAGGCCGCTGTGCTGGTACTAGGTGTACACAAGGGAGGTCCTAGAACAACTTTGTGGAATGTTTGCTTCCTAGGAACCTCCACTAAGCAGCTATAGTCCCCCTTAAGTAGATAGAATATGGCTTTGGGTACATTATATTAAGACCCCCATATATCCCATATTCTATCTACTTAAGGGGGACCATAGCATCCTGTTGTGGAGCGTTCCAGAGCCCACGGCATTTCCTTATGAAATTGCCCAGGACTGGAAACAACTGCCCGAAAGAAGGCTCCCGCATAGCCCCATACGCCAGACCAGATTGCTTGAACATGTGGAGACCGTGGTCAAAGCCTCAAGAAGGCACACGTCTCATCCAACTATGTTGGCTTCCTTGCTCCTTGAAATTTTTCGCTGGCGGTACCACTGCTTGGAAAAGCTACCTGATGGCAACTAGGGAGCGGAGGAAGGGATCCTTTCAGTAGTCCTATGTTTCGCACCTGATAATAGTAGCCCTGACCCATTACTTCATTTCCTAGTAGCCACCGCTAAGGAACCTAACAAGTGGCTGTTGCCAGGACACGATACCAAATGGAGGATGGAAAGGTTTGGTGGTGGAACGAGGACTGCTCCTGGGTCGTTAAAACAAAGCCTGACACTACCACTAACGCCAGGATGTGGGCGCATGTGCTCGTGCGGGGTTAAGGCTTAGGGTCTAGGGTTACTTGGAACTTTAAATTTGCTTGCGACCAATTCGTTGAGGAATTGCTGCATCTAAGGATCCGAGAATTAAGGGCACATATCAGGGGCCCATAATTCCAACTTTCGGAAACCAAAAGCCGTAAACCGTACCATGGGAATGGAGTAGTTTTTCTTTCACAACTTGGAGCCACTCGGTCTCCCTACAGGGGCCTGCTCTTGCGGGAATCGGGAAAGAGAAATCGCATTCGAGTCAGGCTTTAGAACTTCAGCGTTGGGCGTTTGTCCATGTGTAGGATCTAAACGTGAACTGTCTAAACCAAAAACCATTCCAGATGGCTGTCTTTGCATTTGGGGTATGTTTTGAACCCGCTTCCATGAGGGACATTTCCTGTGCTCCTGATATTTACCCACTTTTACAATAGCCCTTTGCAGGTGGCCTCACCAGTTCAACCAAGTTTACTAGTTCTTAGAGGGGAAGAAGGGAATATAATCCCTGTATCACCCATGTATCACCTTATTCCCTGCCAAGAACCAGTAAGCGTTTCATGAAGCCCACGCCCTCAAGCACCCAGCCTCTCATCGGTGCTTGTGCTTCAAGTGTAGAGCACTTTGTAAGCTTAAGAAGGGTCATGGCAGTTCCCCGCGTTTAGGGTTTACGGTTTAAGGTCTGGCAATTAAGGTGAAGCCGAGCACGAAGCACCTGAAGGGGGTCACCAGGGGGTGTGGATGCTGCCATCTATGATTCAGATTGAACTGTACGGATTTGTTGGTCGTTTGGTCCATTCCACAAGGGCTGTAGTATACCGGGGTATTATGGGGCCCACAACTTATGGAAGCGCCCAGATTCTACTTAAGTTTCCGTCGCCTGCCGAGACTTCATGGGTTCCCTTGCTTCCCTTCCTTTGCTTGGTCCCGATTCCATTCTGGGGTGCTGTTAAGGAACTTAAATTAAGTTACCATATTGGGGAAACCCTATCATTTACTATATATACCCAGTATGGTAACTTGATTTAAGTTCCTTAACAGCAACCCAGCATTCCTTCTGCGTTGGGCTAAGTTGTCTGGTAGTCAGGAAACCAAGAGGCCAAAACCTCCAAACCTAACGGCCCTAAACGCTAAATTTTAAGAACCCAAATATAGGGGCCGAAATAGTTACCAATATTGTGGTTCCATATTCCCTACTTAATTATGGTCTATGGTACCTCAAATGGACCTCAACATGATATTGCTAATTATTTAGGCCCTCGTGGTACCAACCCTAAACCCAAAGCCTGAACCATGATCCTCCCCAGGACAAGCAATCGTGGTTCTGGCACGCCGCAAGGAAAGCCTGAAAGCGAAGTGCCTCGGCAAAACCCCTTCCTTCATGGGGATCACAGTAAGTAGGTCCTTGTTTGAGGAAAGCAGAGTCAACAGAACAAAGCTAGAATTGACAAGAAGGCTTGTTATTTTTTTACAAGGGCTCGGTATTGGGAGTTAACGGAAAAGCAGTCAACCACCCAACTTGTAACCAAGTTATGTCGTATAGCCCCCGCATAGTTTTTACTCTGTACTCATATACCTACGTGTTGGATGAACACTGAACCTCTAAACCTTAGAACCCTAAACCCTAGAACCCTAAACCCTAAAACCCTCTACCATAAACCCTGGAACCCTAAATTGCCTGGCTTGGCTATGGTTCTTCGTGTCCTTTTTTGGATCATCGCGTGGGTGGTGCCCTGACCAGTTTGTAGTACGGCCTTAGGGTTTAGGGTTTAGGGTTTTGGGATAGGTCTACTTCTCGGGATGGATTAAATCGGCCTGCAAGTGGTGTCATAGGCCCTACGTAGTCATAAACCCTAGCAAGCTACCCGAATACGGAATGAATCCCGCATCCTTAAATGCTCTAAACCACTGGTCATTATGTTGCGGGGCATGTCTCTCCAGATGAGAGTCCTCGATGGGCACCATAAATGAACGGATGTTTACTTAGAGGCTCAGGGGACACTTGGTAAGTAGGTTAAAAATAGACTTATAAGTAGCCTAACTTGGCCTACGCCTTTCATGATGAACCTAACTTATAACCTGATTTGTGGGTCCGAAGCCCTCTAAGTAGTGTTTGGGGTCTAGGGCTCTGGGACCTCCTAGAAAAGGGGCGACACCACCGAATCACCTGCAGCGCTCGCCCTGCAACTGAATCTCAGCCGCAAAGCCCTGAAGAATGCGGGTAATGTAGACACGTGAATACTAGCAATCTGGTCCCCTTAAAGTTAAGCCTTTATGTCGCTATAGGTTAATTGACCCCAGAGTCCTAGTCTAATTCGATGAGCCCTCACGTCACTTCTCCTCGTGGACAATCAATCCACCATGTGGAGAATATTCAGGGGACCGGTTCGCGTTGGCTGGGACCTTCGGCGTACTTGATTGAAGGTTCATAGGCAGTTGTGCAGGGAAGTATAAGAAGGATAGTTCTGGCCCTAGCCAAACTTGCACGACTGCGAACCAAGAAGCAGGAGCTGGAACGAACGAGCTACCGTGATTCCTAGCACTTCGGGCACCCACGGTGTCGCAGGATTTCTTGCATGACTCGCGCGTGCGCTCAGCCCTGTGTACGGAAACGACCTCCAGCTTTTGGTGCGTTGGCAGTTCGCCCATTCAAGTGCCCCCCGTATACTACTATACTACTAGACCTAGGAATACTTGAGTTTAATTATTTGTGGGGGAGATCGGTGTGTTTTTGCCTTAGCATCAAAACCCGAAATCATTTTCCCCAAACCTCGAATCCTCGCAGCCGCTAGCCATTAACCTTAAACCCCAAAGACCAAACCCTGATAGTCCCCCTCAAGTAGTTAGAATATGGGGTATATGGGGATCTTATCATAATACGTCCAAAGCCATGTTCTATCTACTTAAAGGGGGATTATACCCCTATCCCCTTTAACCCTAAGCTGACCGTCAGCCAAGGGCGTCTCCTGACCGTGTGTCATGGGGCGCTGATTTGATGGATAGTTCTGCCGGACTGCCTCAAGATCATCATTGCAAGGGCTTTGGGGCTTAGGATTCTACAGGGATCATAGATAGGATTGCGTAAGGTTTACATAGGGACCCTGCAGGGTCGCGCTCGCACAGGGGTTGAGGGCATACCCCAGCAACGGAAAACCAATAGATGGACAATGACATGGGAACTGAGGTTGTGAGGGGATTGGCATCATGAAGTTTATATGGAAAATTGTCAAGTGCTATGCTCCCTCTTTGGATATCCTAGATCCAAAAAAGGACAATGATTGTGACGACGCCCCAGACCAGGTTTAGACCTTATTGCTGGGGTTCAGACCCTAATTTCGCAAAACCTTATGCCCGAAAGCGGATTTAGGGTCTATAGGGCCGTGCTTTAGGGTCTATAGGATTTAGGCTCCATAGGGCGTTATGGTTTAGGGCGGGGTTCCTGAGGAAGGTTCGGCAGGGATTTCCATGACGCTTTTCACCGGATGCAATCGCCGCCGAGTGTGAGGTAGTCATAGACTCTAAACTAAGCGGTTTAGGGGTGTAGGGTTCAGGGTCTGCAGGGTTTGGGGTCTGTAGGATTTAGGATTTTGGGTGTAGGGTTTAGGCAAGCCCAAACAACACCTAAGCCCTAAACCGCGATAGATTATGGCTCTTCTTCCCAGCATTATAGTCCTTTACTATAGAGCCCCCAAATACCGAGGTTCTGATCATGAGAGACATGCATTTCGCTTTTTCCGGGTTCCTTCCGTCCTGCCATCAACCCCCAAAAGTCTGCACATTGCTCCCAGGCATTAACTTGCACCCCAAACCCCACTGAATGGCTTAGAGTGCTTGATGGTGCCGGGTCCTACAATTCCACAGCGCTTCGGTTTTTCGCCCCTTGTCCCTAGGGGTCCATTGAGTAGCAACACCATATATTTATTTTCCCCACACCTACATGCGGATTACTATTATAAGACGCCGGAAGTGAATTCCCTTTTTATGCTGGACTCTTGGAGTTTGGAATGTGGGGCTGCCGGCTACTAGTTTTGGGTTCAGGGTTTAGGGTATGCGAGTTTCCACAAACAGGCCTTGCGCAATCTTGGCGATTTCATAGATCTCTGAACCCAATGCCAAGATCCGGCGCCCTAAGCCCTAGACCCTGAACCCTGGATCCTATACATACCTATGTGCCCTCTTAAGAGGCCCATGTAACCCAACCCTGGACCCTGGACCCTAAGCTGAAGAGAGCGGCACCTTGGCACCGGCTGCCTTGGAATCTTGCACATGAGCCCATGTGTAATTTGAAAGCCAGACGTTAGGTAGTCCCCCCCACTACAGGGTTTACGGTTTAGGGTTTAGGGCCCCAAAGTAAGTAGAACAACAGTTTTTTGGGCCGGTTTGAAGGATTGTAGGCCAGCACTTACCTACTGTTGAGGTCTTTGGAAGCCAAATGTTAGGTGGTTTCCCCCACCAGTACTGGGCAAATTAGAGCGCATCGGCGACATCGTCCGACCTCATCCCAAACTGTGGTACATATAGCCAAGTTGGCTGAACTTCAGTTTCTGAAATTGTTGTACAATGGCCAGTTTTATTAGAAAAGGAATCAGCAGGAATACATGGCGACACTGAGTAACTACCATTATCCCTTTGGTCGCTATTGTGGGTGGGGGGCATGACCTGAGCAAGATGGGTGGTTGTCCGAAATTAGGGGCCCTTTCTCCAAAAGGGAGCCCCAAAGGACCCTACAAATACGCAGAGACCATCAAGAGACTATAGGGGTCACCGTTAAGAGGATTATGTAGGGATCCTTGCTAAAGTCACATATCTGCTGCTATTGTGCAAGTTGTGTAGATGGGCCCCAGAATACCTTGGTGCTGTTGTAGAAAAAGGATTGATGTAAGTCCCTAAACCCTAAAACCTAAACCCTAAACCCTAAACCCATAAGTGGACTCCCGCAAAAGGGGCCAACAATCTTGACAGCCGCCCTTTAGGACCCTAGGAAAAGATGCGCCGCACAGGAAGGCTTATTTGTCAGAAGAGCTTGAGACATGCCACGGCGAAGCTGCTCTAGGTGTGGGCCTAAACCCTAAACCCTAGACCTTGGGTACTGCCCCCCCCCCTTGCAGTCTATATTAGGGGTCCTGTTGAGGGCTATATGTAACCATATTGTAAGTGTTACTGAGTGGGGGCAGTACCCAACCTAAACCCTAAACCCTAGACTCCTTGTAGAATCATTGTATGGACCACCTCAAAAGGTAAAGAGGCTTTCACTGGTTTTGTACATGGGATGGTATGACATCTGGTAGATCTCAGAATAACATTCAACAAGGGGGGGGCAGTGTTGCCCCAAACCTCTACAGGTAAACCCCCCAATTAGAGTCATATGCTTATATGATAGTTAGAAGGTCCTCAACTGAAATCCGCTTGATTATATTGGTAGTTCTCTGCACCTATGCATTACTTCTTGCTGCGGCCATCGTACTGTTTAGTGTGACGAGGGTGTGGCCCACGTGCACCTAGGGGCAAAAGAAGAGGGACCCTCAACAGGGCACCTGATGCCCTAAACCCTAAACCCTAGACCTTGGATGCAGCCCCCGTTCTGTAACAGTTGGATAATATTCAATACATATATATATATATATAGACTTCATATATGTATGTATATATATATGTGTCTATATATATATATAAAGATAGAGCCCCCTAATATAGCCCCAAATATAGACTGTTACAGGGTGGGGGGCTGTACCCGAACCCTAGACCCATCAATTCGTGTGGCACATGTTACTCTCAGGAAGCCACGCAGCGTCCGGAACCCTAAACCCTGAACTCTTAAACCCTAAGCCCTGAACCCTAAATAGTAGCTTCCATGTTTCTTTCCACTATTCCTGTATTTTCCCTGTATAACCCTTATAAAAAAAAAACCCTTATAAACCCTTGAATCCCTAAACCCCTAACGCCTAAACCCCTAAGTCCCTAAACGCCTGAACCCCTAAACCTCAGCCGCCCAGGATGACGAACTTAGGTGAGCCATAATCTAAAGTTCCTAAAAAAGGAGGTTATATAAGGGATTATAAAATGTATAGGGCTTACGGTTTACATAATATTATGATATAGGCTTTAGGGTTTACAGCATATATAGGGTTTAGGGTCTTAATTTCTTAAAGGGGGTTGAGTAAGGGATTTTATAGGGGACTACTAAAGGGGCTATTCGGGGTGTTAATAGCTAGGCGCTTAAACTATGGCTCAAGAAATCTCTTCATGTCGTACTAGTCTTCAACACTCCGCCCCCACCCTAATGTTGCTTTACCGTTCAGGACTTGCGGCTGAAGATATAGAACATCCCGCCACGCCCAACGATGATGCTGTTTTCTCATATGTAAGGTTTCTTACAGGGAATATTTCTTGCTAGGGGTCGTTTTTTTTTTTCTTTAAACATTATCCTGAAGGGGTCACATGAAACACCTCTACATAACAGCTAAGTGCCACTGTCTAGGCCAGGTCAAAAAGCCTGTGGCTTTTTGCCCCATGGAGTTACTGTAGCGGATTGCACCAAGCATTTTGTAATACACCGACCGAGCTTACCAGAGCTGTTGATGGGTCCCTGCCTTCTCCCCACAGCTTAGAAGCGAGATAAGAGCGCAAAGATCTGATCCTATCAGATCTACCGTGGGGGGCAGCCATGAAAACAACGAGTTGCTCGAATATGGAACTTGACCCAGACCCCCTGATTATCAACCCCTCCCCTTAATAGGGATTTTAGTAGGGATCCGAATATTTAGGCCCTTAAAAAAGGAGGGGTTTTATTAATCATTAATCATGGGTCTACATTAGGGTTTGGGGCTGGGGGGGCTGGGAGGCGTGGGGACCTCAGGATTGAGGGTTGTGTATGGACAGCTTCCAGGTTTAGGGTTCAGGGAAAGTATCATAATCAGGGGTCTCGCACCCGCAGTCCCGGGGTTTTATATTGATTGCGCTTACAGTGTCAGGAACATAGGAGTTAGGGTTTACAGCTGAGGGCAGCTGTCAAGCTTGAACAAGGAGTAGATACGACATCTTTTCAATGTGGGTGTCTCCAAATGACCACTCCCCTACCCAGACACTGATCCTACGATTTTGATACAGGGACCCTCGCTTGGATATGACAATTTGTCTTCCCGGTTTCGACTGATCGACTGGGGCTCCCATTTGTCAGAAGGGTGTCTGGGTCTTGGATCCTTTTCGGGATCTGCAGAAGAATGCACAAGCCTACATTTGTGGTCAGCCATCGTTTTTGCAATGTATCCTTGACCGACTTTCCATAGTCTGGCTCAAAACAAAGTATTTGCAAAGCATGCTTACGCCCAGGACCCTCAACCCTTAACACCCAAACTGTGTGGAAAGAAGCCTTCACAAAGCATGGCAATCATTGGCTGCATCTGGACACCCCAACTCTTGAGCAGCCTTACTGCAAGAGCTAACTTCCTAAATGTCAGTCCTTGACCTCACCGAAACGCAATGCCACCAGTTTCAGACATGTCTTGAAACATGTGTTGCACGGTAGCAAAGAGGAAGGTCATGTGATCCAAGAACCCGGTCGGCCTTGCAATCCTCACACACACACACACTTTAAAGAATCATCCTCAACATGCAGTTACACTCAAGATATGTCAGAAGCCCAAATGGTTTCAGGTCTTATTAGCCTTGCGTCATCCGCTGAAATCTACACCCAAACTTAAACCAATTCCAGCAACTTGGACCCCTGCGGAACTTCACGAGAGCCATCCTTTCTCCGTGACCAAAAGGTTTTAGGGCATTAGGGTACTAAGGTTGTAGGGTTTTAGGGTTTCAGGGTTTAAGGTTTAGCCTTCTTGGTTTCGGGTTTAGGATTTAGGCCAACATGGCATCAACACGATTGCCCCACGGCGCCGCTGCGTGGGGAACCCCAGGATCCTGCTATCTTACTAGTGCTTAGCAAGGAAGAGGGCATAGGGTTCAGGGTTCATTGTCTGGGGGGTTTAGGGCTTAGGGTTTACTGTTTAGGGAGTTTAGGGTGTAGGACGTACTGTTTAGTGTTTAGGGCTTACTGCTTAGGGTTCAGGGTTTAATACTTAGGGTTTAGGGTTTACTGATGGGTCATGAATCAAAGTTACTTTAATGGAACGTGGAGGGAGAAGTATAGAGATCCATCCCCCCACTCCTTGCCGAGCGCAAGCAAGGTATCGTAGGCCAAACGCTTGGAACATGGACGCAGGAGCGAATATGCTACTTTTCCTTCTGGGTACAGGATGTTTTGGGGCTTTGGGGTAATGATGTTCCAATTTTCTGGCTTCCATTGCATAGCCTTTTATTTTTGGGCATCACTCAGAAGCTTCCCCATAGCAGAGGGTTCTGCAAGAGTTTAGTATACTACAGCACCCAATGCCGGGTCATGCAGGAGTTTTAGTACCCATAGTTTGTCAGCTATGCCCACTTACAACTCCACATTTATACGGGGTGTCTCTTTTTTTCGCCTTCACTGCTCTCTGTAGAGGCCCGTTGCCTGTGAGGAGGGCGATCTCTGTATAGTCAGTAGTTGAGGCCTTTCAATACAGAAGCCCCTGCAATCTTGTTTGTCTCTTTATTATGAGAGGTGGGTGTAGCCCGGACGAATTTCCAAAAACTATTGAACCCCAGAGGATCCAAATATACAACTATTAGGGAATTCGGCCCAAAAATACCATACCATAGAAGCAATTATGGGTCCCAATTCCCTAATGGTTGTATATGTGGACCCACTGGGAAGAGCCTAGAAGCGCTAGACGTAGCCATCCACTCCAGGAATTCCTGATGGCCACAGGTTCCTCAGGGTTAAGGGTTTAGGGGTTTAGGGTTTAGGGTTTAGGTCCTCTCTGTTCCAGGTTAAGAAAAGTCAAAGTTTGTGACCGTGTGATATCTTATGGTGGCTTGGAACTATAATCATAGATAGCGCTCGCTTCTCGCAGTGTACCTACCTAGCCCCTAAGCACTACATTCACGTATCACCCCAGTTTCCATTTTCTTTTGATTCTCCATTCTTGGCAGGTATTCTTCATCTGGCTTTCAGTCCTTACTTAGGAAAGATCTATTGAAATCAACTTGACCTCAGGTATACTATAATGCCACAGTTCCTGCTTAGTTGTGAATGGGCTCACGCAAGATTTTGTTCGTCCACCCTGACATCTCTAGAACCCCCAAGTCATCCCATGTTCCTACTAATTTTCAATATCGTTTTCCAGTTGATGCCCACACGTAAACCCTAAACCCTAAACCCTAACACCGGCCCTAAGACCCTTACATGCACATCAGGTGGCTTGTTGCACTGCTGGCGCTGTGGCGCTTTCAGGCGCGGCATTGTTAGAAGATTTGTGGGGCCGTAGCTGGCGGGCTGCAGGCACAGGACCGCTTTAAAGCCTACCTACAAATCTAACTCCAGACCCTAAACCTTACTGTCCATCTCACCCTCCCTCTGTGCTCCTTAAGATAAATTCTCGACCGCGAGGGGCTTTTTGGAGTTCCCAGAATAGGGATTATGGTGCATTGCGGTCTACATCGGGCCCTTATGCTTTCCTTGGAGCGGCTTCTTGGCTTCTGATTTTTGGAAGTTTAGGGATTTAAGGGTTCAGAGTTTAGGGTTGAGGGTTTAATTTAACGCTAGGTTTAGGGCTAAAGGCCCTGTTTCTTTTTCTCGGGGAGTTTGTGGAAGTATGAACTCTAATCCACACTCCATCCCAGAAGCACTATTTCAAAACAGGTCCAAGAAAGAGTGGCGGCAGAAAGATAGCAAGATAACATGAAACATGCATGCACAGCAACAAGTGGCAACGCTGTGTCAGCCGATTAGCGGGAAAAGGCTGAGCTATGCAAATGGTGGTTTCCCAGAATTAGGGGTACCATTTTGAGAGTTCCCACAATAAGGACTATAATATTTTGAGGTCTATATTGGGTTCCCCCTCTTTTCGGAAATTAACCAATGCGTTTCGAAAACATTTCGAAGTGTAGCTAAAGAAACGAATGAACCTCACTGCAGTCTCCAAACTTGAAACTGCAAAACATGTTCATTTGTATTGCCTAACCAACTACTTGCATGACACTTACGCGACTCTTACCAGCTACAAGACTTCAGGGCTTTGACGAGGCCTTCGTTGCCCCTTCGCCCCGGCGCGGGGCCGGCATCGCAAGGAGGGCACAAGCCGAGGCCAAGCAAGCTGGGTATCTGGGTTGCTGTTAAGGAACTCAAATTAGATAGTTGTATGGTATACAGGGTTTAGGGTTACTATAAAATGGAAACCCCAGCATTTACTGTATACCCATATCATGTTATTGAATGATAGGCTTTCCTCATTATAGTACCTTAGTTTAAGTTCCTTAACAACGACCCAGTTTATCCCGTCTTTAGAGATGTTGGGTCGGCTGCTCCTGCAGAGACTGCCACCTTCTGTCTTTCTCCACCCAGAAGCAGCTTGTAAAGAGAAACCACGACGAGGCTAATGGACCTGTTGGCGACTGGGTGGAGTGCGAGATTTCGTCGCTGGGAGCTGTTTATTAGTTCAGGGCACCCTAAACCTTAAACCCTAGCACCCCAAACCCTCAACCCTAAACCCTTTACCTTAGACCCCAAGCCCTAAGCCTTTGGCTTCACAGCGTGGGACTTGGAGCATAGGACAGTGTTGAGGCCTGCCACATGTTCCCCCTGAAGTGTGTAAGCTACATTGAGATTGAGCAGGGCAGTTGCGGTGCTGTCATATGGCTGGAGTCTGAGGCAACAGCAACAAGAAGTCCTAGCACTAAGCTCACCTGAGCCGCTGGTAATTCACAGGAGGCCGCGCGAAGACATATTTAATGAAGCTCACAACCCGCCTAAATTCCTCCAGCTCCTTTTGGCTATACATGTCAGGCCTGTAGTAGCTACTTCTAACCCAAAACTACATAAACGAATAGCTCCAAGCCCATACGTAGGTCTTTGGATGCTAAACTGTAGAAGCTTCAATAAGTACCAATGCCTTGGGTTAATATAGGGGTTTTTAATATGTAGGGAATATACGAATGCCAACCCCATCATGGAGAATCAAATGGAAAAGAACATGGGAAGTGACATGGAAACTGGATTTATATCTGTCTTGTAGGGACGATCGCCAAGAATCTCGTCCCAAGTTCCTCCTACAACTATAGTATAGGGTACCTCAAATGGACCTCAACATGATGTTGGTTGTGTTTTGGGTTCTTATTGTATTCAGTTTTTCCCCTACACACCTGAAGCCTAAACCCGAAACTATCCCAAATTAAGCCTGGTGAAGCATAAGGGGGAGGCCAAGGCAAGGTAGCTTTAAATGCGACGGTAAGGGAACGCATGATATAGGATTTAGGGTTTACTTGAAGGTTCATGGGATTGAGTAACTGCTCATAACCAGGTTGCCCCAGTTATAGGTAATCTTCTAAGCTCCATTATAAGCAGTGACTACGGTCCATGAATCTTCAAGTAGGGTCCCATGACATATGCTCGCATCCAATCCTCATGCCTACAGCTTAGCAAACCTGTGTGGAATCTCCAGCTACCCTGCACCTGAACTCGTACTGGCACACCCAGAAGACACACGAACTGATGGTCCTCACACAATACAGTACTGTATCTGCTTCCGGACCAGAAGACCTGCCTACTGGGAGGCTCATGGGATTAGATAGCTATTTATAGCTGGGTTATAAGCCTACTTACAATCCGGCTAACTACCCTATCGAGGACGGCCCAGTTGTATGTGGGGTTCAAATTCCAGTTAGAGGTAGTTACTAGGTCCAATGAGTTTGCGAGTAGAGAATGGTTTTCGGGAAGGAATACAAATCACAACATCTTCGCTGACTGTTGGGGTTTCTATTGGGGATTGGGCATTACAGGAGTTCAGGGTTTTGGGTTCAGGAGGATCAAACTCCAAAATCAAAACCCTGAAGCTTTCAGCCTTCAGGCTCTAAATCCGGAAACTCCAAACTGCCAGGATTTGGAAAGGAATCGTGCTGCACAACCAAAACACCATACAGACCCCAAAATCCACCTACAAACTACATATCTTCTTACCATATCTCTGGGTGCTCCCATTCGAAGAAACCTCTGAACTTTCCCGGCCTTGTTGATGCTTCGGAATAGTTGGGAATGGATCCTGCCTAATAAAACCTCTACAAGCTTCCATCATAGTACTCATAATACATTCACTTCTCCATTTCCCTGAATGCACTTGTAAGCCCTAGACCCTTAACCCTGCACACCCTAAATGTTGCATATAAAAGAACATTCCATTCGCTCTTCCGCTTCTGCTCTACTTCCCAAAGCCCTTATCCCTAAACGCCACACCCTAAACTAAGCACCGGCAAGCCGCGCTGAACCCTAAATGCTGTAGAACCTCTTGCTTCCTTCGCACTCTCCACTCTAATGCCTTGACCCTTTTCCCTATAACGCTCTGTATCATCCGTGTTTTAGGGTTTACGGTTTAGGGTTTCCATGTCATGTTCGGTTTACAATGTGACCTGGCATTCAACAGCACCAGCAGCATGAGGCCCCTAAACCCTGCACCCCAACTCTTGCAAAACAAGCCCTGCACACCAACCCATGAGTACTCAACTCTAAGTCCTACAAACCTCTAACCCTTAACTCCTAAGCCCTGTAAAGCCCTAAACCCTCAAAACCCTAAGCCCTGAACCCTCCAACCCTAAGCCCTAAGCAGCAGGTGGTAGTTGTTCAATTACCTGTCCCCAAAATGGCCATAGTGTGAGTTCCCTGCTTGATTAGGATCCCGTCTTAAGGAGTTGTATTCCCATTGGTCCCTCCTTTATATGGACCTTCAGAACAACCCTAAACCCTAAGCTCACAAATCCTAAACTCCTAAACCCTAAAACCCTGAAACGCTAAAACCCTGAAACCCTAAACCCTAAAACCCTACAACCCTGAAACCCTAAAACCCTAAAACCCTAAACCCTAAAACCCTAAACCCTAAAGCCTTGAAACCTTAAACCCTAAAACCCTGAACCCCTAAACCCTAAGACCCTAAACCCCAAAACCCTAAAACCCTAAACCCAGGTATACGCCTACCATCTCAGTTCATAGCTCGGTAAAAGAGCCACGGCGCAGTGAGACTTGGCCAGAGGATGCTAGATGGGGATTTCCCAAAATCAAGGTCTAGGGTTTAGGGTTTAGGGTACCTTTTTGGGGTCCCTATAATAAGGACTATAGTAAATTGGGGTCTATATATGGGTCCCCTTGTTTAGTGAAACTACCAGATCGTGGGCTCAAGGTTCAGGGCTTTGGGTCTTTGGGGCTCAGGGTTTAGGGCTGCATGGGGGCTTTGGGGATTTAGGGATTTAGGGTTAGGCCTTGGGGATCTAGAGTTTAGTTTTATTTGGGTTCAGGGCTTGGGAATTTAGGGTTTTGGGTTGTAGGTTTTAGTGTTTAAGGTTTTGGGGTTTTTGGCTTTTGTAGTTTAGGGCTTAGGGCTTGGCTGCTTAAGGTTTAGGGGCTTTAGTGTGCAAAGCTCGGCACTTAGGGTTTGCGCCAGGAATCTTGCTTGTACCTCAGCATCATGCTTAGCGAACGCAGCCAGTGGGATATCAGCTGGCTACCAAGCATACCTCGGGTTAGTGGAAATGAAGGAAGGGAAGAGACGTCGAAATTACTATGTTATTGAGAATCCTTTAGGAGCTACTACAGGGATACATTTTTTCATTCCTCGGTAACCAGAGGTAAGTAACTTGGATGCCCAAACCCTAAACCCTATCCATCCTCCAGAATCCAGGACATCTACATTTTTCACAAGCGTCAGCTGCAAGAGGACTTCGGCGACTCAGCCGACACCTATCATCAAGTCAGGGTTTAGGGGCTTCAGATCCAGTGTCATACTTCTGAGGTTTCTATCCCTAAAGGGTTCAGGGTTCATACTTCGGAGGCTTCTATCCCTGATGGGTTTACTAAACCCTATATCAGGGTTTAGGGTTCAAGGGTCATACCTCTGAGGGTTTTTATCCGTAAGTCGTCCGGCACCTCAGCTGTATGTGCGGTGTCTTCTTATTGCCCCTAAACCTTAAACCGCCCGCGTATGCATGGGTTGCAGTGCCAATGATGGGGAGCCTCTTGGATATTCCAAGCGTTCTTGTTAGGGTTTAGGGTCCAGGGTTAAGGGTTTATAGGGTTCAGGGTTTAGGGTTCAGAGCGTTCAGGGTTTAGGGTTTTGGGGCCCGATATAGAGTTCAACATAATATGGTCTTTCTTGTAGGGGCCCCCTACAAGGTGACCAATCCCCAATTGTTCGTCCCCTTTTTCGTTTAGAGTTCTGGGTTTTGTAGGATGTTTGGGTTATAGAGTTTAGGGCCATGATAACACGGGGATTGTTTAAGTACCCCAACCCTTAAATATACTAATGACCTTACAACTGATCATACGGGTGGTTGTTAAAATTATGGTCGGTCCCTTTTTAGATCCCTATTATAATACGGCACGTAATATTTAAGGATACCCAAAAAGGGATCATAATTTTGGCAACCACCCTTATGACTTCATAGGGTCCTATTTTAGGGAATGAAGTTAGAGGCCTGGCATGCCCCAAGCATGCAGTACGACTAAAAGCCAACTGTAGGCTTTAGGCTTTAGGAATTATGGCTTTAGGGGTTTAGGGGCTTAGGGTTTAGGGGTTTAGGGTTTAGAGGCTTAGGGTTTTAAGGTTTAGGGTTTAGGGTTGGAACATGAGCTTACCCCCCCCCCCACAAAGATCCACAAAGAGTTGATTCAAAAGTTGCGTAAATCATCCCTACTATAATCGCAGTAATTCTATGGGTACGAGGCCCTAAACCCTAAGCCCTGATTAAACCCTACTGTAGGTCGAGGTTGCGGAAAGCCCTCAACGCCTCAAACTCGAATCTCAAAGTAGGTCTAGTGTATGGACTTCTAGCGCCAAGGTTATGGTTTGCGTACAAAGTTTCCTTGGGAAGAGATCTGTGGCGTCCTCTTTCGTAGACTGAGACTGTCAGTATCCAGATTTATCAAATATTGCGGTGTCGGGGCACCCTAGAGGCATATATGTGCACACAGAAATTGCCGAGGGATTGTAAGGTCTCTCCAAGGTTTCCTACACGGGTCAATTTGAGAAACACTCACGTAATCCTAAGTTAGATCCTCAGCCCATTCTTTTCCCAGCTAACCCTAAACCCTGAACCCTAAATCCTTAAACCTTAAACCCTAAACAAGGCCACCTCTATGCAAAGCTGGGCTTCACGGTGCAGGCACACGATTTGGGGATTCGGCTTTGGTGCCCTCTAATGTAGACCCATGATTAATAAACCCTGTTCTGTTAAGGGCCTAAATATTAGGATCCCTATTGTAATTATAATCCCTATTAAGGGGAAGGGGTTTATTAATCAGGGGTCTGGGTTAGGCCTTCCACTTCTGCATCAGTAGTTGAAAGGCATGTGGCTCGTTGTAAGTCCGTGTATCAGTCCCAACATGGCGTGATGAACATGTCAGAACTATAGTTCTCCTAGCTAGCATAATCCAACTGTGAGCTGTACTCCCCCTTAAGTAGATAGAATATGGGGTGTATGGGGATCTTATTACAGTATGCCCAAAGCTCAATTCTATCTACTTAAGGGGGACTATACCCATGAAGCTTCAAGTAAGTAGCAGGCACCCCTAGATTCTAGTCCCAAGCTATCCATGCAAGTTATAGGGATATCAAGGGTCTGGGGTTTAGGGGTTTAGAGTTTAGGAGGCCAATCCGCAGCATTTAGGTCTTCTGATATAGAGGTCTATATGGGGATATCCCGTGATTTCCTGGGTCTTTGAATACACCTTTTTGAATTTCTTTGCATGGCCCTCAGAACCCTAAACCCTTTATATCCCTCTTTCCCCCTAAATATCCCCTACGACCCTCTTGAAGGGTACCCAGAATTTTGGGAAGCCTCCATGTCGCCCTAAACCCTAAGCCCTAAACCCTACACCCCTAAACCCAAAACCCGAAACCCCTAAACCCTAAACCCCTAAACCCTAAACCTTCGTTCAGAGGAGGGAGTGATGTACAAGGACATCAAAACGGTCTGTCGGGAACCTGCCGCTGGGCATAAGCTGGGTTTAGGGTTTAGGGGTTTAGGGTTTAGGTTTAGGGTTTAGGCTGACACACGATTCAGGTTTGAGACTGGAACGTCCTGGCGGCGTGTATTTTTTGAGGTTTTTCGCATTGATTCTGAGGGTTCTGTGAGACAAGTCTGTAGGGTGTGTCCCATACTGTAAGGTTTAGGGTTCAGGGACTCTAGTTTCGCTAGCGAAGCAACGTAGATTCTCCTTTATGTAAGGTTGGAGTTTCGTGTTGAGGGTTCGAGCTTAGGGATAATTACGCAGAAAGTATGGATAGCTCATAGAGTATGCATAAGGAAAGATGGGATTTCACAAAGCTGGAACCCCTAAGTTACCCATGGGTACCCTGAGTTATATTGTCGAGTTGTAGACCAAGCCCTATCACATGTTCTGTTGTAGGTGGCCCGAAGCTTACTTAGCCAATAGAAGAACTTTAAACTTTTTGGGCTTCCTTTTTGGGTCTCTATAGTAAAGCTTAAACTTGTTTAGCCCTGGTTATTGGGGAAGAGAGAATAAGGGAATGTCTTTGACGCCTACCATGTAAACCTGAGGACAACCTTGGTGGACAATGCAGCGACTGTTTTAAGTTCCCTGGCGCTGCAAGAAGGGTTTAGAGCTTAGGCTCTAAGACTATGCTGGCTGGAGATTTTGTTAACGGGATCTCAGTTTCAATAGGGCGGTTCGCTAAACATCCTCAAGCCTTAACCCGTGATAGGAATCCTTATTGTGGTATGTAGGGACTGACAGGTTTAGGGTCTATACAGAGAGCAAATGAAGCGACCACCAGCCGGAGAAAGACTTAGGGTGTTGAGGGTTTAGGGGGTTGGTGTCAAGCTTAAAAGCCTAAAATCTACACCCTACTTTCTATCAATGTGAGTAGATATGACGAGTGGCAAGACATTAGTCAGAAGACGACAGAAGCAAATCCATGCTGATGGCAGCCATGGTAAAAGTAATGACCGAATTGATTAAACTTCAGGAGGCTGAAGCCAGAAGCATCCAAGGTACCAAAGCAGCTGGCGTGGCCCAAGGAAACCTATGAAGCCCGCGGCGTTTGACCCTAAACCCTAAACCC